ATTTAAGTTTGACAGCATCTTGGATAGTGTAATTGCCACATTATGCAAAATGCCAGTCGAAACTATAATATTGTTAGTCAATTCTGGTTTATATCGCATGCCTGATGCCAAAATTGGGAATTGAGAAATTATATGTGATTCACATTGTATAACTACTGCTCGGGCTCTGTTACGAAGTTCAATAAAGGTGTTAACAAGAAATTTTGGTTGGCGTATCCACTGTCACCCAAACCAAGAAATGCAGGTATGGGCACTTTCCAAATTTCACCGATAAATTGACCGGTTAAATAAACCGGTAGCTGTCAAAAAATTCCGGTAAAAGTTAGGTGTATATCCGGTGCAAGATTTTTCTGATGCATTTTGGAACGCTTCGGTGTGTTAAAGTTTGGTTGTAACGGTTGTGTTACAACAGTTCAAGGAACGACTGCCGATAATGCCCATTCAAAGAAATTGATGCACGTCAAAAAAAGTGTCAAAAAATCTCAAACCGAAAAAACCTACCAATATCATTCCGGTCAATTTTGGAGCGTACGATCTGGTTCAACCGGTAAAAAGACGGTACATTTTGGAACGATTTGGTGAGTGAATTATTAAACCGGTTTAGAAACCGGTGAATTTTGAAAAGTGCTCTATTAGTACATCAGAAAAATCTAAAATCTGTTTTTTTTTTGAAGATAAAAGTCAAAATGACATTATGTTGGCAATACAATGTAAAATTGTCAATGATTTCAATTTTTTTATGTAGAAAAGGCTTGTGTTGCCAACATAGTTACTAAATTTTTGACTTGGGGAATTATCTTCAAAAAAAAACAAACTTTATTTCTATTATGACATAGCCAACTCTCAAAACACTTTTACTTACCTAATGATAAATTATCTCCAAACTCATTGTTTTGAAAACGAGCCTTGATTCTGCTGTTGTTGGAAATGGTTTGGTCATGAGCAGACCCAGGCCACCTGGCTACTATATCCATTATTTTGAGGTTGCTGTCTCCAACCACTTGAGTATTTATTGAAAAATAACTTTTTGGTTTCTAAAGACTTAAGCGTCTGCTCTCCTTAAAAATATTTTCCACTTATGAAGTATAACGGGTCTTCAAAAAAAAAAAACAAAGATTGTTTGATTACGAAACCATACGTCGCATTGTTGTTTCTTGATTGGTCAGGTTTTTTGACATGACATTTTGACATTAAAGTTCATGACCTGACATTAAAGTCCATGACCTTTTGATTCGACGCCATCTTGCGGTGCGCGAACATAGTTGCCAAAACAAGAAAACAAAAATTTCTAGCGGGCTATCAACATTAAAAACAAAAGTAAATCAAATCAAATCAAAATAAGCTTTATTGTCCAGAAATATGTATCTCACTGACAAAGCAATTTCCTAATTCTAGAATTACACTAAGGACATGTCATAATATTATTAAAGAATAAAAAAACAAAAATAAAATCACAAAAAAAAAAACAAACTAAATTCACCAGGTAAGTAGGTAACTAAATGATTGATCCTCGCTATCCTTTTTGTTTATTTACTTTCTCTTTCTGATTCTATAAGTAAACAAAGTTAACCTATTTGTTATTGAAATTTGGTAAAGTAAATAGGTAGATATTTTATTATTTCTATTCTGCCCAACACATGCTAAAATTGATGGCTTTTCTTTTCAAAAACATTCGTAATAGGCGGCAAATTTAAATTTGAAATGTAATTTATTCAGTAACTTTTGTTTTTAATGTTGACAGTACGCTAGTAATTTTTTTTTTCTACTTTTGGCAACTATGTTTGCGCACCGCAATATGGCGTCCAAACAAAAGGTCAATTCAGCTACCTGCTATTACCTGGGGATTGTAATTTCATGTAGGTTCCATCGATACATCTATTCACCTTCGGAAATCGTGAGATGCGATACAACTCAGTGGAGGTTCTGAGAATTTCCTGTGGAGTTTGTGGCATTCTTATATAATTAGGTCTTGTTCTTGCAATGGCCGTTGAAACCCGATTTAAAATTCTGGAAACCATGGTTTGATGGCAGCCAATTAAATCTCCGATTGTATTCTGATGCCCCACACAAGAGTACAGATGCAATGTGGCCAAGAGCTGGTTCATCGGTGTTAAACTATTATTTTTAAAACAAAAAAGATTGTAGATAGATACATAGACCGCATTCCCCATAGAATGAGTTGCATTTGGTGAAGGTGCATGAGGTGGAGTAATTCAGCAGCCAACTTATTAACACAAAGCCAGATACTCCCTTCTATTTATGAACTTACCAATCATTTTGGAATTCAATTTCTTCTTCTATGTTTTCCAGGAAGCGGAGAACCATTGATTTTGTTAGTCGAAATCTTCGAAAAAACGAGTAATTATCCATATCTTCAAAATAATCACTTCTTTCATAGACTCTGCGAGGAAACCCAAAGTTTATAATATCGATTATACAACTCACTGTACATTATTCCCATATGACACGAGAGGCTTAATAAGTGATAAGCCTTTTGGAATTATCGCGCTTGGTGGCAATATTGTCAATTTGTCATTAATGATTATAAAAATTAATAAAGTATTGAAGTTTAGTTCGTTGTATAACCTTTTGAATACCACTCGATGTTTCAGGATTACCTAATACTTTTACCTGACACTCAACGCGTTACCAGCAACACCACTCCTCCTTCGGAGTCGTGGTGTTGCTGCGTAATGCGTTTCGTGACAGGTAAAAGTATTATTCGGTAATCCTGAAACCTCTTGTGGTATTACATTCGAGAATATCTAGATCATCGTCTATGAACATTTCCTCCTCTAAATTCATTTTACTCCGGAACAGAGATAACTGATAACTCCCGAATAATAACAAAGTTGGAAAATAAACTTCAAAATAGGTGCCAAAAATATTTTGGGGTAAGACACTGTTTTACTCATCCACGCTTTGTTGACCAATCAGATAATCTGATACTTAATCCAAATTTTTTTTGCGGTGCATAAGAAAACTATATCTAATTCAGATTTTCATAACTAATCCTCGAAATTAGCTAACGGTGCATACTTGAGTTATATTATTATAGATTTTCATAAATTGTCATTTGACAGGAAACCCACTTTGAATTTTACCAGAGATTAAATTTAATTGGAATTTTCAATCATGAATTAAATTCATGACCAAGAATGAAAGATAGGTTTTCCTCTAAAATTAACCGTTTAGGTTTTACAGCCTGTCAAAGTTGCAAAGAAGTCAATTTTCAACTGTCAATATTTCCAACACAGTTGAACTTGAGTATAAGGTATATCACATGAAATCTGCTCAAAATTTTACGTAGAATCCAAATATTCAATAAAATACAGGGTGCGTTAAAAAAAAAACGACTTTTATATCGTCACGCCTAATTGAGCCACCCTGTATACTCAAAAATATTTTTTTTTAAATACAGTCTCACGACTGTGTTATACAATATTGAAAATTGAATTGATTGCTTACTGGTTGTCCACTCTTTGATGGTGTACAGGTCTTCCTGGAGGTCTGCTAACTGTAGTAGTGGTTTGCAGGATAAGCTTGTGTCATCTACAAACCATTCATATTTTGTCTTCAGATATAAGTCACACAAATACGCCAAGAAAAGCAAGAGTCCCAAGACTGAGCCTTGTGGTACGCCGCTGTGTACAGAGTATTCAACTGAGAGTGACATTCCTGTCCTAACCTGAAAGGTACGTCTAGTAAGGAATTCCTCAAGAAGTCGCAGTAAATCGCCTCTGACTCCAAAATGAGATAGTTTGTATAATAAGTATATTGTTGGTATCTTATCAAATGCTTTTTCAAATCCACATCAAATTCTCATCATCCGCCTTTTTCTACATATTGAGTCTAAGGAGGTTCGTAAAACTATTTTTTTGGGGTTAAAACCATGTTGGGGTGGTACAATATGAGCTTTGAGGAAAAAGCTTGTGAGTTCCTTGGCGACTTTGGCAATGATTTTGTCATATAATAAGGCGCTGGTCAGGCTGACTGGTCTGTAGTTTTCTACTAGCCTTTTGTTACCCTTTTTGAATATAGGCATACCAACTGCTTTTTTCCAAGGTTGTGGATAATCTCCTGTGGATATTTTGTCATTCATAGGTGCTGCCAGAGGCCCCTTTAGAGTGTGCAAACAATTTTCAAGTCCTTACTGCATTTCACCCTTGACTTAATATGGCAATCTCTCCGTTATTGCTCTACCTTTTCTGGGATGAAATTTACGGTGTTGATTTCTGTTCTGAGTAGGATTCAACTGGAAGTGTTGGTCTAATATCTGTAGGGCTGAGTTTAGCAAAAAAAACCTGAAATTGCTGTGCAAAACACTGTAACCTCCTGGTCAGATTCAAATGGAACTAGAGTGGCTTTGTCAACAATACTGAAGTAAGTGTGTTTAGAGTTAACATAGGAAAAGAACTGTTTGGTATTGTTCAACAGATTTTGTTCATATTAATCATATTGTTTTCTTGCTGCGACTGTACACTTTTTGACCTTATTATTTTGATACTGGTACTGTTGTTAATTTTTATTTCCCTAAATACTACCTTAGTTACCCATCGTTTTTGGACATTAAATTTTTGTGGTGTGTATGCCATATGCTTGTTCATTGTAAATCTCGGAACCTCAGAGAATTTTTCAAATGAATGTGGGTTAGTAGCTTATGCAAGTTGCTGCTGATAGGTTTGATTTTCTTCTCATTTGAAAATTTTTGAGTGAACCCTGGGGGTTAGAGGGTTGAAGGAAGGAGGTCTAGTTTCACGTGAAAAATCTTTCCCCCCAATAAATTTTTTGACGTGTTTTGGCGATTTTCACACGAATATGCCTATTTACCGCAGATAACGTGAGGGGCAAGTTTTGAGATGAAAGCCCTATATAGGAATAATAATAATAAATTGCTAAAAGATATTTGTTGTCATTTTATCATTTTGCTTAAGAAATCTGTTTCTACCCATGTGATTATAATGAATAATTTTGTTCACAATTCTATTTTTTCTTTTTAGAAACCACTACCAAAATTGGTTCCATCATCAAACAACAAATACCTCCTGATAAACCGACCCACTACAAAAGGCATGACCAATTACGTTATAACTTCCACCGCAACTAACACCAGCACCTCCTTGAAACGCCCACTCCTGACATCGAGCACCCAACAACCACCGAAATACACCCAAATAGTTTTAACTAAAAAATCGCTAGAGCCTCTTCCGGGAAACATACCCAGTACCAGCTCACTGAAACCTCCAATTCACACGATGGAACTAGAGGATTGCGAAAACGAAATCGTAGCCACCATGATGATGAAACCGAATTCTCAGGAAAAAACTGTGACAATGATCAGTAAAAAGGGTATGGATCCTAGTGCCTATGGAAATGTTGATAAGGACAATGAGGATCCTGATTATATCCCGCCAAAGAATTTGAAATTGTAATTTTAGTATTCATTTTATTTTAGTTTGATATTTGTTAGAAACAGATTAATATAATTAATTAATTAAACCACTTTCAATAATCAATTTACATCATTTCAGTCAAGTAAAAATTAAATTTTCTAAACTCACAGCAAGAGTAATTAATAATTCTACGCACAACAATCCTCTGTCAGAATATTACCATTGGGAACTTTCCAGCCAAAAACAAAATAGCCGCATACTAAACCTAAAACGACTGCTATGCAAAGGCCTCCATTATAAGTCATGAAGACTAACATAAGCATGTAGCTGAAAATTGCTTGGATTCCATGGAACAGTGTTTGGACTAGATGAGCTTTGCTCATTATGGTTAATCTGAAATTAAACAACTTAGTTACATTATTGAATTTGTGATCAATAATTCTTACTGTGCAGATTCTCCTGATCCGCTTGCTACATTTCTTTTTCTAATGATTAAGGCTTCTTTCAGAAGGTGAGCTCTGTGAAGGAAAAAATATTGATTCAGTATGTGGATTCTGAAGTAGGATTTTAATTACCTGTAAAATCTGATGGCTTCAAATCCAAATGCCATGGCAAATAAACCTACCATTGACCCAGCCAAGCCTCCATAAGAGTTGAAAGCCCATTGTCTGAACAGTACTGTTGAACGTTTGCTAAACTCAAACTAAAAATGACACAAATTTAGTGTGATTTATTTGCTACTTGAAGGTATTACGAACTTTTGAGTCAAATAAGCTTTAAAAAATTAAGTATTAGGCAACGTTGGTTGAGATGTTCACCTAAATTGATAAATTCTGCTTTATGTTTCTGAATATGACCCAACCAGTCAGGCATATAGTTTATTTTGTGAAAGGATGTTGGTGGCAAGTTGTAGAAATAATAAGGATTTTATTTTTTTTAAAAATTATTTGGTCTTTTATTTATCTGTTGCACTTAAAACTAACCGTTCATCAACCAAAGTTGTTGAATTTTCATTGAGCTTTATATAACAATAAATAAACTTTTTTTATCCTCTATCATTATTAACTTATTGTTTTCTTATCAGATGCAAAAGGTGAATTACATTCTCAAATGACACAAAACAATAGTTTCGCAAGTACTTATCTATTTATAGTAAAAATTAACAATAATTTGGCAATGTTGACTTTTGACTTAAGAGGCCAACAACAAGCCGTTAAAAATTGAGAAAAAGGGTTGATTTCCCGAGACGAGAACTCACTTATTTTGTAATATTTTTTGACCGGATTAGAAAATAATAAAAGATAAAAATCTAAAGAATAATGCTGTTGTTTTAGTTTTTCGAAAAAAAAAATTGCAAATTGAAAATATCACGACCTAAATACTCGAAAAAAAAGCATCATTTCTATCGCTCGGTACATCCAAACCCATCGCTTTTTTAAAAAAAATGAAACAAGAGCATTGTTCTAAATTTTATTATCTTTTCGAATCTTCTTGATTCACTAAAAAATATTAAGTAGTTTTTGAGATCTCCTCTCAAATTGTAAGCCCTGCAAACACGGAAATTCTAACATTTTGGCTGCAGCGAGGTGCTGCCTCTGGCGGATTTAATTTCGCACCGGGGTAAGTAAAAATTACACAACGCGAGAGGACTGCAAGGCCAGTTATTAGTTTGTGTAAATAATTATGGTGAATATATTTCATAATGAACTCAAAACGAACAAAGATAACTTTACTAGAATTCAATAAACGAAAGAGGATATCATATAGCATAGTTAAATACAGTTAGTACGTGAAGGTTAGGAATAAAATCCATCAAAAATACCAAGTTGATTTTTTTTTCAAAAAATCTCGGATACGTCGATTTTTGATTTTAGTGGCCGTTTTTTTGATGAGAATTTCATACATTTGTCAAAACTGACATACCAACAATAAACTAACATGTTTTGATTGTTGATTTGAACCAATCAGATTGGAATTACGTGATAATTTATATTAGTGTAAATTATTGCATAAAGTCCGACAAATACCATTTTAAAGTCGCGTGATATTGGCGGCAAAAAACGTATGTTCATTGATTATGTCGTTGATATCACCTACAAAAAGCTACTGGTGGTTAATTACTATTGAATTTTAGGATATGTTCCCACTAGCATTTTACGAACGCGTTTTTGAAGTAGTATTGACCAATCAGATGGGAATTTTAATACTTGCAATTGTGGCGAGACTCACTTTTGTCGCATCTGCTGTCCTTTTTAATACATTCTGAACTTGAATTGGGTACCCGTTTTCTATTTGCTTCTTTTAGAGTTGGAAAAAGAATAATATAGTCAAAATTATTAGCTGTATTTGTTCGTTGTATCATTTTCGAGAATAACTTTGACAAACTAATTGATGACAGTGACGGATCTTATTTCAGGTAAGAATATTATGAACAATAATTAGACACCAATTTTTTTGTCAATTTTACTATCACCGCTGTTTAAGATGTATTCAACAAGGATAGAGAAAAATCACGTGACTTTAAAATGGTATTTGTTGGACTAAACTAATGCGAGAACTGGTGTTTTGACAAAAAATTTGAATTTTTGATTCATGAAATTTTCTCATAAAATACAGTGTATCCACTTAAGTTCGCAGCACATGGGAAACTTTTTTATTATCAATTTTCCGAAAAAAAGTTATCCTTTATAAGAGTTTCTGCTTCTTGAAAAAATAATATCAAACTATGTATTAAAAGTTGAAATAGCATGTACAGGGTGCTCAAAAAATAGAAAAATATACAGGGTATTTCCTAAGTACGGTCCGTTACTTCAGGATGTCATTCCTTACGATATTTTAACAAAAAAAGTTCCCATAAATATGTGACCAGAAATGCGTAGTTTCTGAGATACAGGGTGTCAAAGTTTTAGAAAAAATCGTTTTTTCAGCTCAAAAATTTTTCCATTTTTTTTTTTTTTTTAATTTGGCAGGTTGATTTGTGATAACGAAAGGTTTCTTTTGACTGAAATATTTTCCTATTTTTTAATCCCCCTGTACCGGGTGTTTTTTTATCTTCGATATCATTTTGATTACCTGTAACTTTTTTGTTTTTGAAGTTATCAAGGTAAACAAAATGTAGGGTTAGTAGCCAAGTTTTTTTTCAAATTACACGTAAAACAAAACACTATCAACTTTTTGACATATAAGCCTACATTATATTTTTTCAAATGGAACACCCTGTATATTATATATGTGTTCGATAGAATATCTTATTCTGATTACAATGATATAGCACACTTCATATTTTGGTCCACTCGTTTTTGACAAATCGGCAAAAATATGAAACTTTCGAAGTGAAACTTATTAGGCGGCGGTCTGATATTTGGGACGAAAATTATTGAGAGCATACATAGGTATAAAAATTTCATATATTTTTGCCGATTTGTCAAAAACGAGTGGAACAAAATATGAAGTGTGTTATATCATTGTAATCAGAATAATATGCTCTAACGAACACACATATAATATACCGGGTGTTCCATTTAAAAATAGTACATTAAAATACAAGAGGCGAGATTTTTAAAGGACGAGTGCGATAAAATGTCTTATGAAACGAATATTTTATACTATTTTTTCTATTCTGGTATTGTTTAATTTAAAAAAAGCAAATTTTTCTTGGAAATTTTATTCTCATATTTCCTGATTTCATGTTTAGGTTGGTAACATTACATGCCAAATATAGAATTAAGGGCGGGTATTATAAAACTACTTTGAGAGTTAACTTAAAGTTAATTTTTGAAATTACATGTAATTCAAAAAGTTAACTTTAAGTTAACTGTCAAAGCAGTTTTATAATACTCGCCTTAAATCTTCTATAAAATAGAGAATGACAGTGCGATGGCCATCAGTCAGCCAGTGTTACCAACTTCCGATAAGTGAAAAAGGAGTGTCACAAAGAGCTTCTTTTCGAAACTACTTTTACACCCATTTACACCGACTCTTTCTTATGGGACCCTTAAGCTAATTGTCCCTTAAAGCGTCATTAGCGATTTTGACGCTTTGCGCCGCGTTTAGGGGACTCTTTATGTCTACCTTAAACCGTCCTTAGCTAAATCGCCAAATTTGGTCCTTTAACTATCCTTTAACATTTTTTTATCATTTTTAAAGAAAAGTTGAAAATAAAAAAACATATTGTGAGTGTGAGACAGTGTTCGCACACCTTTCTTTCTTTAAATTAGGCAGATAAGCAATCATCTATCAGGTATTTGGGGTAATTTTTTTTTTTTGAAATTTATTAGGTTAGTGGTTAGTTTTTTTTGTTGATGCCCCATCTATATACAGGGTGTCCCACGACGTTTCTCCCAGGTGATAACTTCGGAACGCGTCATCCAATATAATTGAAATTTTGAGGATCTGGGTAACTTTTTGTGTCGCTTCTACCATTGCCATCCAATTTTACCACTTTTGCTTCAATTTCGGTTAAGTGACGTCAACTTTCGAATCTTAAATGTAACACATGGTATATTATGGTATTTTTCGTTAGAAAATTAAATTACATAATCGGCTATGCCATATTTGTTGAGGCTTTGTTAAAGGATATGACAGAAAATTATACAGTGGAACATACGATGATGCGTTCCTAAAGGATCATTTGGGAGGAGCCTCGTGGGACACCCTGTATATAAAAATTAATGCCACTTTTCGTTGTAATTTTATAACTCAAGAACGGGCTCACCTAGCCAAACCAAATGTTAAGGCTTTGTTCGGACTATTTATTAGATGATTTTGGGACCTTTTTCAGGATTTTTCCAACCCTTTCCAGAAATTTCCAAGTCTTTTCCAGACGTTTCCAGAGATTTCCAGACAATAACCAGACTTATCCAGAGTTTTCCAGAGTTTTAGAGACGTTATCCAGACCTAATCCAGACTTGTACAGACTGATCCGGATTCTGGAGAATGATCCCCAGGTCTTTTGGGACCTTTGGCAGAATTTTTCCGACCCTTTCCAGAAATTTCCAGGCTCTTTCCAGACGTTTCCAGAGATTTCCAGACTTCATCCAGATTTATCCAGACATTTTCCAGACTTGTTCCAGCTCACTTGGCTTGTTCCAGGTTCTTGTTGTGTGTTAATATAAGCGTGTTAAAAAAGTGTCGCTTTTTCGTTTCATCGAGTCTGACATCACTCCCAACGATTCTAAAGAAGTTTTCACTTCAAAATTAATGTTTTCATTTAAAAAAATAAAGTTAGCTGTCACAACTTGTTTCTGGGTCACCCTGTATACATGATATTACCATCAGAAAAACGGCAACTGAAATCAAAAATATGTGTCCGAGGTTTTCATGAGCAATCTCACCAATGTGTGAAATTAACACTTTTCCTTTTTATTATTTTTCTAGGTTTTCTGGAAGTTCTTTATGTAATAAACATCATCTCTCCCACCCTCGTAACTACGCCACCTCACTTTTTTTTGGTGTAAACATTTCAAGTATCTATTTTGCTGTATTTGTATAGGTATAGGTAAATTTTATTATCAATGGTAATATAACTAGTGCAATGGAAATTATTGATAATTTTTGGGAAATTTGCCCGAATGCATTTTTAGTTGAAAAAGAGCCTTTTTCAGTTAAAAACGCATGAGTGCAAATTTGTCGAAAATTATAAATATATTTCCATTGCACGAGTTGTATTTAATGAGAGAATTTCATAAATCAAAAATTTAAATTTTTTGTCAAAAAATGTCAAAACACCAGTTTTCGCACCAGTTAGTATGCAATAGGGAATTTTCATATTTCTCAAATTATTTTTTTTTAGATACTTCTAGTAATCAGTTATTACATAGTTTTCTTTTTTTCCATTTTAATTTATACGTTGTACGAAAAAAAAATTCTTGAAATTCAAATCAAATACTTTGGCGCGAAAACACGAAATCCCAATTTGACAGCGCTTGTGACGTTGAGATTTTGTAAACATCAAATACGCAGCAGACGAACTCCTGCTGACGCAGTGCTATTTTTATGTTATTCAAGTGTGTTAAAGTTTGCTTTTTATGAAAATTGCCGCAATGGATGAAGAATATTGTGAAGGACTGCTTTTGTATTTTTTCAACGTGCAAGTTCCCTATCACAGATTTCCCTATTGACGGGTTTGTTTATAGAATTGTGACGTCAAAACAGGTATCCATCATAGAAGCATTGTTTTGGCGGGAAAATTTTTATTTCAAATTTAATATTATTTTTTGTATAATAAGGGCGGTATCAGTTAAATAAAAACTGGTCATATGAATATTGTGCAGCATAAACTATCGATTTAAAACAAATTTGGAAAATTTTAGTTCACTTGCAAGTTCCCTATTATCTGATAATTTGCACTAGTGCAAATTATCGCGTAATTACAATCTGATTGGTTCAAATCAACAATCAAAACATGTCAATTTATTGTTGGAATACCAGTTTTGACAGATGTATGAAATTCCCTTCGTAATATATTTTTGTGTTTCCGCACATTTCATTCTCCACATTCTTATTTGTTAAATAAAAAGCACAATGTAAATTATAAAACTATTATTATAACTGTATACTTTTTAATTTATATTAAATATGATAGGTGTATTAGTTTTGCCTCCACAAAAGCCCATAGGATTTATTATTCACCTTCCATGCAATTTGATCATACCCTTCCGCAAGGGCGGTTTAAGGGGGGGGGGTAGAGGGGGTAATTACCCCCCCCAGAAAAGAATTTTTATTTAATTCATTTATCAATTACAACAACATTTCAACAAAAGACAAGTTCTACAAAGTAGGTACCTAAAGCATTAAAGGCATCGTATAAATATGACAGGCTCACCCATAGTACCGACGTACCTTCTTCTATACAGTGAGATAATGGGTAAAGTGCGACATCTGAATGAACCTGTGTGGAAGGAATGCGGACAAAACCCTCCTGATTGGCCCGAGATTAAATATACATATACGCGGGTCGTCGCGTCAGGGTAACCGCAATTTTCGCAATGCACCACGTCGGGGATCCGTCGCGTCGTATAGTATAGGTTTTCGTTTTACCGTCTGCTTCTTCATACGTTGCCAAGGTTCATTCAGTTCAGTTGTCGCACTTTACCTATTCCATTTGTTGGTTTTTGTTCACACATGCAAACTGCGATTTTTTGGAAAAATATTAAATATTTCAAAAACAGTTAAGTTTTGGTATAGGTGATTTCTAACAAAAAGTATGTAGGATTTTTACAACGATCCATTAATGTACTGAAATATAAGGTGTTCCATTTAAAAATACCAAAGTTTTTTCGCATACCCCATTTACGGACCATCCCTCGGAGCAACCTGTATATTTGAAAATATTTTTAACTAATACACCTTAGAGAACCAAACAACTTTGTAAATTAATTATTTTTCTTGCATCACCCTGTAAGGAGATATCGTCCGATATCGCCCTAAGTAGACACCCTGTATAACTATTTTGACTGCATCGGGATACAGTTGAGGCGTGTTTTTTGAACGATTTTCGGTTGCAAATTTGGGCGTGGCACCCCAAAAAACGTTGCGACACTGGGTAATTTTCCTTTCATCCATTACCCCCCCCCCATCCCCCCAGAAAATCATGTATGGACCGCCACTGCCCTTCCGTTATCTCGGAAATATTTGCCGTAACGTCGCGTCGTCTATCGCGGTCCTACTTTGAACTCGGCGACAAAGAATGAATTTCGCGCGCTTGAATTTGTTGCTGGCCTCTTAAATGTAGGTATTAAGTACTATATTAAAAAGTCAGGATAATTTTTATCATAAAAATAAGAAGTATTAATAATTTAAAATTATATTTTACAACACACCAATATTGAAAATTATTGGATTGTTGTGCCATATAAAAAATAAGAAATGCCTTAACGATATAGGATCAAAATTTACTTACATACATCTCCATCTTGACTCTTTAGGTTGTTGTCTGCCACTACTAATTTCTCAGAATCACTGACAACAAATAAATAATCAAATTGATATTTGAGCTTATTATTCCTTATTTGAACATATTTAGCCTTATCTTACAGATATCAGTCGTATTGTTTGAGAGATAGCTGGATTTCTACTTGACCTTCAGCTATAAGCGCCCTATAATTATATTACAAAAGTAAAAGTTCGCGACTCGTTTATTTTCTAAATCAGCAAAAAAAAATGTCGAAAAATATAATACAAATTAATTTACAATACGATTTTGAAGGAATTATGTATTTATTTGGTAGTTAGTTAGTTTCTCGACACTACAAATTCGTAAAATGCATGTGAATCTCTAGTAAATATTACCTTCATTATTGATTAATTTCACATTTCAAGTACACGGTTTTCGAAGATTTGAAAATTTTCTGGGCAGAACAAAACAAAAAACAATTTTCATATAAGTAAAGGTGCCCAAAGTTCTTTATTTTGAAGAAATGGCTTCATTTTAATTTGAATGGTAAGGTAAATGTTAACGTTGTTAACTTAATTCCAAAACTTAAAATACTTTCGTGGTTTTAAATTTATCAAAACTGCACAACACAGCTACTATTTCTTTTCTATTGTGTTTAATATAAGTAATTTATTAGAAAATAGGTATAGGTATGGCATGCACTTACTGGTATTGATATGTTAATGAAAAAGTTTTCTATGTAAATCAGAAAATGAAAACTTGGATACCTATAGGTTTCTGGAAAATGACTGTCCATATAGACAGAGAGCCAGCGCCGGAAAAATTCTCTGAATTTACTAAAGCCAGTTTTTGGACAGTTGATTACAATAGTCATGTACATAAATATAGCGCGGTCAGTAGAGCAAAACTTAGAACAAGGACCTTGGGTGTCTTGTTAAAGTTGTCGATATATCTTAGCTAGTGCAACAAATTTACTAAGACAATAGCCATTTTGTGTCCTTTGTTCAAATAGTGGTATGAATTTCGTGGGTTAGAGGACTGGACAAAAAAGAAACTACCAGATTTGTGACAACGTTTCGGTTTATATTAAACCTTTTTCAAGCCCTAGAAATAAAGATATCCGCATATATACATATAAAGAAGAATTTCAATGCTTACTCAATCTCCTGTTTTGTAAGAATTTACTAAGACTAAAAATCGTTATACATATCATATATTACACATAAATAAGAGTGATGTTAGTCAGTTGAATAGCGGAACCGTGCTGGTCAGTCAGCCCCATTGAGGTAGATCAGCCCAATATATGTAAAAAAATTAATAGGGCTATAATCCGTTCATAAAGTCTATAGACTTTTTTGAGTGCGTGATCTGAGATTTTGGACGCTGATTGGCTAGATTTTGGAGCCTCACCAGGGCCTTGGGTTAATCGTTTAAATTGAGCACTGGTCGCCCAAGTCGACCCCCTAATTTTGGCCAATCAGCGTCCAAAATCTCAGATCACGCACTCGAAAAAGTCCATAGACTTTATGAACAGACTTTATTTTTTTTAGCCCGGGTTGATTCATCTTCAGATAAACTTGCAGGTAACTATCTGCAAAATAAATTTACCTTTCAGTAATTTTATTGGTCGGCCGATACCTGACTGACCAATGGTATTATAGATTGCGTTTTTATCTATCACATTGCACACTTGATAGTTTATCAGGAGAAAATTGTAGTTTGAAATATAAATTAATAAATGCTGTGGTAATACATATTACTATTTCTTGTAATAGATTTGATTCATTGGGGCTTACTGACCAGCACGGTTCCACTATTCAACTGACTGACTAACATTACTGTTATTTATAATATGTTATGTATAATATGTATAACGATTTTCAGCTTTAGTAAATTCATTGCATTACCTACCTAAGTTATCTCGGCAACTTTAACAAGACACCCTAGGTCCTTGTTTTAAGGTTCGCTTAACTGACCGCGGTATATTTATGTAGGTACGTAACTACTGTAATCAACTGTCTAAAAACTAGCTTAAGTAAATTCAGAGGATTTTTTCGGCGCTGGCTCTTAGACTAATAGATTTCTGTGAAACCTTATAAGGAATTCACGAACTTGTTTCAGACAGAGAATGGGTGCAATTTCTTCTTCAAAAGTTGGAACTTCAATAACATTACATACTATCAAAGGCCACTGATTCTATATCAAAGCTTCCACACCTGAAAACTTCAGTTACTAGCAATTTTTTTGGGGAATTATCTATTTGCAGCTTTGTTTGTTCTAGTCCTACTCAGTACCTACTATTTCTGCTTTGGAGATGTCAGCTTTTATGTTTAGCTGTTGTTTCTTTATTAAGTTTCTCCAATCTGCTAGTTCTTTTAGTTTCTCCCTTGTGCATTTTCTCCACTATTGTTTCGAGCAACCTGCTTTTTCTAATCTATACCTACTATTTCAATTTTTTTTGTTTATCCATTGTTAATTTTTTTGTATTGAATCTGAGGTTTACCTCTAATAGTAGGGAGAAATAAATATATCTTCTTGTATCTCCCTTCAATATTACTGAGTAATACTGAGTGAAGTTAAATATCTCAGGAAAACTCACTCAGTTTGCCGATGATACGTCAACCTGCAACCTGCTGAAGTGAAATGAATTACTTGGCTCTGGAAACCGTGATGAATAAAGAAATGAAAATAATTAAGGCATATGGTTTAACGGGCTATTGAACTCTGACAAAACAAAATTGATGAGTTCTTCAAAGAAACAACCTGTAACTTTGAGGATAGAGGATTGCGAGGATGATGTTGCGAGGGCTCTCAAAAAAATTAAACCCAAAATTTACCACATGCTCAGATTTTATCCCTGCATGCCTTTTACACGATTGTCGTTTTGTTCTGGTTAGGCCACTTATGGTACTATTCAACTTATGCCTGAAGTACCAAACAATCCCTAGTTTATGGAAAACTTCTAAAGTTGTTCCTGTGTGCAAAAAAGACGATAGGGAGAGATCACAAACTACAGGCCAATCTCTCTCATTTGTAACTTCTGTAAAGTTTTAGAATTTCTTTTATATGATAACATATTTCCTGCTGGAAGGAAGATCCTCTGTCACTAATCTACTTGAGGTGTCTCAATATATTGCTGAATCTATTGATGATAGTTCTCAGGTTGATGTTATATATCTAGATTTCTCGATCATAATATTTTAATTCATAAACTTCGTTCTTGTGGGTTTTGTAACTCACTTGTAGACCTCTGACCTCTTTGTCTCATACTTTTAACCGCTTTCAATAGGTCTGTTTCTGCAGAAATCACAAACCAGTCAGAGTGAATTTCATTGGTTGAAACTAGTTTTCTGACTGTTTTCAACCAATGAAATACGCTCTGACTGGTTTGTGATTTCTGCAGAAACAGACGTTATATGTCTCTCTTAGTGGGTACACATCTAATAAATACTCTGTCACCTCTGGCCTGGCGTTCCGCAAGGCTCGATACTTGGGCCCTTAATACTTAATATATTTATAAATGACATTGATAGGGATCTAAATGTAGATTTTTTGGTATATGCAGATGACATAAAGATATTTAAATATGTTCAGTGTCTGGATGATTGTCTCACTCTTCAACGTAATCTGGAGAGGATCAATGATTGGTGCATCAAAAATAACTTGCAGCTCAATACGGGGAAATGTAATGTGTTTCCTTTACAACCAAAACATTAGCTATTGTTTATAATTATGTCCTTAATGATACATCTGTTCTTCGTGCCGATACTTTTTGTGATTTAGGCGTAGCGTTGACTCAAGATTTTCTTTTATTCCTCATGTCAAGAAAGTACTGTCTGATGCCTCAAAAAGCTACGGATTCGTCACGTTGCACTAGGGACCTCACCAACCTCGAGGTACTTAAAATATTATATAACTTTTATGTTCGGTCAAAGCTGGAATATGCGTCAGTAATTTGGTCCCCCGGTTATGATGTTCATATCAATAATTTGGAAAAAATTCTGCGCAGGTTTTTAAAACATGCATGGCTTAAAAGTGAAAGAATATATCCTCGTCAAGGCTTTTCACATACAATCTTATTAGAGAAATTTGGTTACGTTTCTCTTAGGGATCGCCATGATTACCATTATTTGATCACTTTGTTTAAAATACTAAACAATTTGTTGAACTGCAGTGGTATGCTTGGCAAATTATGTTTTTTTGTACCTCGTACCACGCCATAATACCACATTTTATTTGCCTCTACCAAGAAAAAATGCATTAATATTCTCTCCTATTTTTTCAATGTGTTCTAAATATAACGCCCATCCTAACTTGGACTTTTTTTCTCAATCGATTTCTACAGTACATTAAATACTTTGCTGATATTTTAAACCTAATTCTATCATTTCGTTTTGAAGCTGGCAGTTGTCCTTCTGCATTTGCTTCTGCTTTTCTGCTTACCTCAATAACCATTTAATTTGATTTTGTTGGACTTATGGCTATTTGCACGGCTATGACTTAAGTGATATTAAATCTAAGCGGAGCTTTGAATCTGACTTTTGTTTTCACAAAAGTCACATTCAAAGCTTCACTGGAATTAAATATCCCTTAAGTTGTAGCGGTGCAAATAGCCGTTAGTGGGTTAAGTAGTAGGTTTAAGTTATACTCTGTCATGTATGTTTGGCTTACTAATTTACCTGATAATTTTTCGTAACTCCTGTTAGTTCCTATCTGTTAATTAGGCATTTGTGCCTGTTGAGTAGGTTTTTGGTAAATAAATAAATAAATAAACACAGTTAGCAAGCTAGTCAAAAAATGTATGAAATTTAAACTAATCAACTGTCTCATGAAACACGATACTTGCAAAGTTACAGAACAAGTTCTGGGCCAGCTCGACGGGGGCAAGAAGGTTATTGGGATTGGGATATGTCTGGATTTAACCAAAGCGTTTGATACTGTGGCATACCCAGTCCTACTTGAGAGACTAAATAACATTGGAGTTCGAGGTATAGCAAATGACTTATTAAAATCGTATTTAACAGGGAGAACACAGCGAGTGAAAATTGGTAAAACTTGAAGTGAGTCTCGAGAGCTGGAGCTGGGTGTGACGCAGGGCACTGTTCTTTTATAGTTTATATAAATAAAATATTATCAGTGATTGATGAGGGCCGTGTTTTCTGCTTCGCAAATGACACTGCCGTCATAGTGAGTGGTGATAACTGGGAACAAGTAATAAAAAAAGCAGAAAATTCTATTATGAAATTGAAAAACTGCTTGAGATGTAGATAACACGAAATGTATTGCCTTCGGATTGACCAAGAGGAATTTACCCAGTTTCCTGTATCTAAAAATTCATGACCCGGCTTGTAAATTGGAACAATGTCATCGTAAATGTAGGATTGAACGTAAAGCATTTTTGAGGTATTTCATTAATAAAAATATGAACTGGAAAAAACAAGTCGAAAATGTTACAAATAAGATAAGAAAACCGATTCATAAATTTTATGAATTAAGAAACATAGG